ATTAGGAATGAGGATATTCGAAATAAAGTAGGAGTAGCTGAAATTGAAGGAAAGATAAGAGAAAATCGGTTACGGTTGTTTGGACATGTGAAACGAATGCCTACTGACACTCTAGTTAGAAGATGCGATTATGGGATAAAGGTTCAGGGTCAAAGGAGTAAAAGAAGACCTAGGAAGACTTTGGAAGAGACTCTAAGAAAAATCTATTGATCAACTAGACCTTATGTAAAAATGCATTTTGCGCATAGACCAGCTTTTTTCTTATGATTTAGAATTGGTCATTGTTTGCCAAGAGAGCAACAAAATGCCTAAGAACTTTCTACCAAGTCCAAGTCCTTCATGAGTTACACGATTGTTTTAAAGTCCCGTGAAACAAATTCCCCCTTAGGAGTGGTAATGCGTGCATGATAAAAGATAATCATCATAAGGCTCATGTCGAAAGACGTCTTGAATTTCGTTTAGGTATGACTTCTTTTACTTGTTTAGGTGTTTTTATTTTTCACGGTAAATCAAAGAGAATTCATTTTAAAGCTTCAGTAGACCAGGCAAAGGCTTGTCTTTTGGTTTGGAAAGGTGATTTATCTAGCATAACTAATTATTAATTTTAGGTCAACCACCATAGGATAGACCAGTGGTTGGAGACGAATTCCAGACATGTATTCTATACGGCACGTTCTGGGTTTGATTTTTGGCAACAGTGAATCACACGATAGTGGTCAAGAAGAGGCTAAACAAATAATATCACTCTAAGTAGGTCAAAAGTTAGATTATATCACATGACAATTTCAAAAGTACATCTGCAAAATGATTTATATTACAAGCACCGAGTCCAAGGACTCTGAATGTACAAGACAACAATATTAATGTGTGTATACAAATAGGGAATTATTATTAGCACTTCAAAAAGTGCTAATAACAATTCCTTACAAATAAAAGAGAAATATTATGATACACTTGTACATTTACATAATTGTCATATAATTATAGGCATGTATATTTACTAGGGATGCGGTTTGAGTTGGGTCAATCCGAATCCGTCATGCTCAATTTGGTTTCAAATCGATCAAGTGGGTTAAAATGAAAGAAAAACCAACCCAAACCCAACCCGACTTCAACTCGATCATTTATTGGGTTGGATTGGATTGATTCTTTGCAAATACATCACTTCCCTGGATCTTTGACGCACATACAAATGACTTACTCTCACTTAAATTCACTATGCTTTGCGAATTGAGAGAGGGCATTACAAGACGAACCTCCCTTTTCCAAAGATTTTGCACCACTTGCTTTCATCTTCTTCACTCTCTCTCAACCTTCTTCGTCCGCCATGATCTTTCTCACCATTTCCTCTATCTCCTCCCTCTCCACCACTTTCTTCCACAGTGGAATCTTAAACCGAACCGCCACACCAAGCTCCTCTGTTAAGAGTGTGGCGTTCATCCTCTGCTCTACTTAGAGCAGCCAAGCAATCATAGCTACTCCGTTCGTGATGCTCTCTGGGTTGAATTCCATCCACAGTGCGACAAAAACCCTCCAACTGCTGGATGGGCCAAAATGTCCACTTGTGGGGCCCAAAAAGGGATGACTACCCCGAGATCCTTGGTCCGGTCCAAGAACCCTTTAGGTAAGTACTTTGATGGGTTATTGCCATCGTCATCGCTTCCACCTGTGAAGAAGGCACCATCCGCTGTTAAGGTAGGCGAGTGTATCACCCAAATGAACCCTTGTTGACTCAGCTCTAAACCCCAAGCGAGTTCGGTCATTTGCTCGAACGACACATAAATCACAGACTCGTTGGGCTGCATGTCTAGCCAATCAAACACCTTTCCCGTCGGAAGGTTATTGGGCCTTAGGAACGACTCAATTGGAAACACGGGCACATTTGTGTACCCGCCCAACAATTTCTCATCTCTAAGTGCTGCAAGAGTCTTGGGCTCTAGATCCTCCCAAATGTTCACTAGAACACCATCACCTTTTGAAGTCTGACGACAAATCTCAACAAAATCAAAGTACTGCTGTCCGGTCCGGTTCAAAAAAGAGTTGACGACGTCTGGTTGTGGAAGCATGGACCTACAGCCGGGGATTTTGATTGGCTCTTTTTGTTCGGTGAACTCTCCTTTGACTTCAAAATCTAGGGTTGGACCATAAACCGTGAGGGAGAGAAACCATGCACTGCAAGTCTGCAAGGAATATAAACACATTTTGGAAGACGTGTGATTTCCACATACCCCATTTTACTTCTCACACACCTTTTTAATTTTTGGCCGTCGAATTGGATAAATTGAAGAAGATCAACAGACAGAAATTATCAAGGGGTGTGTAAGAAGTAAAATGGGATGTGTGGATAGCACACCCCTTTTGGAATCCCCAACTCATTGGCAATGAAAAATGATTCGGTGCCAAACAAGTCTACGATAAGCACCGTGGGGCAAAACTCCATGGCAAGTAAGGCTGACCGGAACGCATGTCGTACTTCTTGCATCATGACTGCAAGGATTGTCACAACAGCAGCATTAGGAGCGACAAGGCCGGAAATGTCTGGCGATGGGAGTTCGACGACTCGACAGAGTTTTGGGTTTGCGGCTGTGTTAATGAGTTGAGACTCGGCCTCGGAGGTGTGAGATGAGACGGCAAAGATTGTGACAGTGAAGTTTTGGTGTGTGACAAGTCGTTTTCCGAGCTCGAGGACTGGGATGAGGTGCCCCATTCCTGGGCTGCACAGTAGTGCTGCATGTTGCTTTGAGCTGGTGATCTCCATGGACTTCGTGATAGAGAGTTTGTTTTTTTGCTGGAATTTAAGAAAAAAATCAAAGGGACAGTAGGAGTTTATAGGGAAGAGAAAGTAATCACATATGTTTTAGGCCACCATGCATGTATGTGGTCCTGAGTCTAGTACACATGCATGGGAGATTTAGATGCGATATTTATCCATTATATTCTTTGATCGAAATCTTATTAGTTTTCAATCAAAATCTTTTGAATTACACCACAAATATTAGTATTAATAGATTTCTATGTCAATTTATTTATTTTTAATTTTTTTTTAATTTAACCTTAAACTTAAAAGGGAAATAATACTTACCTTCCCCGCTTATCATCATGTATTCCACTAACAAATTAAACTACATTTTTAATGCATTAAAATCATATATTCTAACTTTTCACCTTAAAAGCATGAAAAGAAACACTTTTTACCTTTCCCATTTGTTTTTTTAGACCATCTCCAAAGGAGATGTCAAATCCTAAGTGAAATGTCATGTAATTAAATTTGAAAGTAGGAGCAAGCTCCAACCGATATGTCAATCCTATGTGGATTGACATATGAGAGCATCTCCAAGAGAACGATCAAATTCGTTTTGATGAGCCATGTAGATAAATGAACGATCAAATTCGTTTTGATGAGCCATGTAGATAAAACGTTGCTCAAATCGTATAGGAAATTGAGTAGTTAACTTGCCACATTAGTTATTACAATACGGTTTTGTTTGTTTTATTTGCCTACACCATTTTCTTTTAGTAGAATGATAGTGTTAGTGTGCTAATTGCTAAATAGTTAGTTGTTAGGAGAAAGATGAATCAATAGAGATCAAACCCGCATCAGATTGTATAAAAATAATTGTTTTTCACTACTATAATAAAACATTATTTGCATTTGTCTACACCAGTGAAAATGCTCTAAAGACACTCTTTAAAGTTTGCTAGTGCCAATGATCTCATTAAGCCCTTATCAGCGAATTATAAACCACTGCAACCGTGGTCAACTATCCTTCACGGTTTGGACTTTTGATATCTAAAGTTGTTTCCGATGGTGGTGCTTCAGTATCAGTACACTCAATTTCCAAGCCCTCAGAAACCATTGTCAGTAGGGACAGTATGAAATAGATTTTCTCTTCTGGGCATAACGGAAGAAAGTTGAGATTTTACCATAAAATCAATTGATAATATGGAGAGTGGTTAAATTACTTGTAAGCACACGCAAGGTCTCTCATTTCATCAATGTGGGATGCATTCTCAACACGCCTAATATGAAGAGTAACACAACTACTTATAAGCACACATAATATCTCTCCTCTCATCAATTCATTCTCAACATGCCTAATATGGAGAGTAGCCCAACTGATATGGAGAGTAGTCCAACTACTTATAAACACACGCAAGATCTCTTCTTTCATCAATGTGGGATTCATTCTCAACAAGCCTTCATCACGTGTGGCGAATTTTAAGTCTAACATGTGGACAATACAACTTGGGTGACGTCAAGCACGTGTGGCTGTTGGGCTTCACATGTGAGATATTCTGCTTTAATACCATGAAAAAAGTTGAGGTTCCACCATAAAATCAATTGACAATATAGAGAACAACTCAACTACTTATAAGTACATGTAATGTCACTTTTCTCATTAATATGGATTCAGTTTCAACAATAGGGCCTTGCGCATGAGCTCATCACACCGCTCGTTTTTAAGTTATAAAATGAAATGTCAGGCTTACCTACCGGTTTATCAACCCGCAAAAACCGGTTTTTAATATATATATATATATTGCATAAGTAGGTGTATCAAATTCAAACCAACAAAACAAAATCAAATTTATAGCTTACGTACACTTAAGATTTTGTTGGAATTTTTCTTTTGTTACATTACCCTTAATGCTACCCATTAGTGGTGTAACTATTAGCTTGGTATACTGTCTTTCTAGTTTGTTTATTGATAGGATATTACGTAATTAAATGAATCAAAATTTTGTGTATCAAATTATGTAGTCAAATTAAATGAACCAAACTATGTAGTATGAATATTCATCCATGTATGACAACAAAATACATACTTATCTTAAAAGGGACCGTAGATATGTGAGTAGATCAATTGATGTGATTGAGAACAAAAGAACAAAATTCATTCTACACATTTTTTTTTTAAGCCCAATGATAGAAATTTCACTAATTCAAAAGAGGCTGATTACAACTCAACACAGAGAATGGACAATTTATAGGCCCGCCCTTCACAAAGACAACCAACCATTACATTCTAGCACAAAGAGGTCAGACAACAGGTCTGAGGATTCCTCGAACAAAGAATGAAAACCCTCACAATGCAGAGCAAATTTAGCAAGACGATGTGCCATCCTGTTGGCCTGATGACAAACATGGGCTGAAATAAGAGAATACACACCATTTGACCATAAATATTATTGATGTTTATACTTCACCATATAGTATTGAAAATGCTTTCTAGCCAAAATAGTCTATGAGATTGACTTAACTCTTTAGTTTGGTCTCTAACAAGATTTATCAGTTTTCATTGTTAGAGATCAAATTGACGAATTAGGTTAATCTCATAGACTATTTTAGTTAAAAAGCTTGTTGAAAACAAGAAGCATATTTGAGAGCCTTCCTGTTCAGCAAATCTTCTAGCATTTGCTTTGATTGCCACCCGATATTTGAGACAATGCATTATATGAAGAACCAGCTACGCTCAATGCTTTGGCAGCACTCAATTTAAGCTCTTTAACTCTACCTCGTATTGCCTGACCATCTCTATCTACCATGATCTTTCTCACCATTCCCTCTATCTCTTCTCTCCCAACCACTTTCTTCAATGGTAGCACTTTTGATCTGACAGCAACACCAAGTTCCTCCGTCAATAGTGTAGCGTTCAATCTCTGCTCCGCATATAGTGGCCAAACTATCATTGGCACTCCATTGGTGATGCTCTCGATGGTTGAGTTCCACCCACAGTGTGACCAAAACCCTCCTATTGAAGGATGACTTAAAATGTCCACTTGAGGCACCCAAAGAGGCACAACCAGTCCAATGTCACGGGTCCGGGTTAAGAATCCTTTGGGCAAATAGGTTGATGCGTCATTGTCTCCGTCTCCTTAAATAAAGTACTAAATGTAAGTGAAAGTATCAAATATAACACATCAATAATGTATTAAATACTGTAAATAACATAAATAATCTTAAACCCCAAATCAGTACATAACACAAATAGACTTTTTCTTAAAGATAACAATTAAAATTTGATGATATAAGAGGTAAGTTTGAGAATTACCTGAAGTGAAAAAAGAAGCATCTGCAGAGTTAGATGGTGGTCGTACAACCCAAATGAATCTTTGTTGACTCAACTCCAACCCCCAAGCCATTTCTGTCATCTGCTCAAAAGACACGGTCCCCCCACTCCCTAACGACACAAATATCACGGACTCACTAGGTTGCTTGTCTAGCCAATTAAACAAGCCCTCCTCTTTTGGACCAGCTGAACCACCTGATTGGACCGGCCTCGTCAACGGTCCAATAGGATAAACCGGCACCTTAGCCACCCCACCCAAGAGTCTCTCCTCCCGGAATGCATCTAATGTTTCGTGCTGCAAGTCCTCCCATGTATTTATCAAAATCCCATCACTCTTGGGGAAATTAGAACCTATCCTTACGTATTCCAAATATTGTTGGTCAGTCCGGTCCAGCATCGGGTCTACGACGTCTTCGGGCCGAACCGGCTTGCAACCTGGAATTCTCAGCGGTTCAGTCTGGTCCACATACTCTCCTTCCACTTCCTTATCAAGAACTCGCACGTATAGTGTCAACGCTAGAAACCATGCATTGCAAGCAATGAAAACGTACTTGGGAATCCCTAGCTCATCGCCGATGGACAGAGATTCGGTGCTGAAGAGGTCCACGATAAGCACGGTAGGACGAAGGGAGGCTTCATGCCAAGTATGGCTGACCGAAACGCAGGTCGTACTTCACGCATCATGACTGCAAGGAGTGTAACGACAGCAGCATCGGGGCCAACAAAGCCATGAAATGTCGGGCGGTGGGAGTTCAACAATGTCACAGAATTTGGGGGTGGTGGCTGCCTTGAGGAGCTCAGACTCAGCTTTGGAAGTAGGAGATGGGATGGCAAAGATCGTCACGGTCAAGTTCCGGTGGGTGACAAGTCGTTTTGCAAGCTCGAGGACGGGGATGAGGTGGCCAAGACCTGGGCTGCAAAGTATGGCAGCATGTGGCTTTGAGCTCATGGTAGGCGGGTAGCAATGGCTTTAGCCTATATCTGTCTGGAATCCCTTTTTTCTATCCAAAAAAACCTTATCTCGTCTCCCTTCCACCTCTTTCTCTACTTCTCTGTGTCTCTGCGGGCAGTGACCAACAAAGGAGGAGAAAAGTCAGAAGGGAACAAGAAGAAGAGGGAGAAAAGAGATGGAGAAGCTGAAAAGAATTGGGGAATGGGGTGCGGTGCGGTCTTCACGAGAAAGAAAAAACAATTGGCGGATGGGGAAGAAGAATCAGAAGAGAACAAGAAGAAGAAGAAGGGGAGGCTGAAAAGTGTTGAGGGATGGCTGAAGAGATTGGGCGATGGGGTGCAGTTAGGGCTTCACGAGAAAGAAAAATAAGCTGGGCTCTCAGTTGGTTTTTTAATATTAATTAACTACACAAATATCTTTTTGACATTTCAAAAAAAAAATTTTGATAAACCGTACAAATTCTTTTTAAAGTTTTTGCACAAAGTTTTTTTTTAAAAGAATATCAAAAATATAAAATTATATACTTGGAATATGAGCAATTTAGTAATTACATTAGTTTTTATTTCGATTCATATATTTAAGTAAACAACTTATATAAATAAATATGATTCTTACCCTGATTCCAAGAAATTTTAGTAAATAGTTTCAACAGGAATTCAATTCTAACTCCACTTCATTTCAATTTTCCCTCAATCCAATTCCTTCTCAATTAAATTCCCCTCATTTTGATTACGGAATAGTAAACGAGCCCTAAGAGTAATGCCAGGGAGAACAAACTTTTTAAACAAAATTATAAATCAAATAATGTGTCACTAATAAGAAACAAGCACGTTAACTGACACTTAATTAATAATCCAATTATCTACAATTACATTATTTAATTTGTAAATTTAATTTAAAAAATTTAATCTTCCAAACATTATTCTTCAAGTAATCAAAACAATCTTTGATCTTAAGCCACCATGAATAGCCTAGTGGTGAGGGTGTGGGTACCGTAAGGGGTCCAGGTTCAAAACCTGGTGTGTCGGTGGGGGTGAAAAAAAAAAAACCATCTTTTCTCTTCAAGGGAGAGTGATATTTTAGGATTTGGATCCTCACCGATCCCCTCTATAGGAATCTTAGAGATCAACTCAGGTGCACTGTTGATAAAAAATTGTGTGGCCACAATCAGTGACATTACTAGCTTTCTGCGGATAAGAGTAAGAAAAGAAGAATGGAACAGATGGTTTGTATTTTTTTAAAAGAGTTGATAAATTTTATCGAAATGTGTGACCTAATTATTATTTTATTTTATGTGATTGGAAATTACGAGTGGAAGCATTCGGATTATTCTACGATTAGGTATGGAAATTACGAGTGGAAGCATTCGGATTATTCTACGATTAGGTATGGAAATTACGAGTGGAAGCATTCGGATTATTCTACGATTAGGTTTGAGTCATTATCGTGCTGCATCTAGTCATTAGTGAGACAAATATATATGTATATATTACATAAATTTTAAGTAAGGATCGATTGATGAACAAGCTAAGTGATATTTATTTATATTTTTGTCAATGGGTTGGCGCCATTCAGATATGATGAGATTTCATGTGAATAGTTGGGCACAGAATTAGTTGAACGAAACGTGCTGTCGTCTAATTATTTGGTGGGTGTATTTGTGTTTCTTTTGGACGGATTCTCTGTGTAGGGATTTTAGGAATCTTCATATTCTAACCGTTCATCGTATATTTTGCAGTTAGTTTTCGTCATATATTATTTATGTTTAATTTTAAATAATAAAAAGTTAAACGATTTCTAATCGCATGATATGCGATGAATGTCTAAGATTTGAAAATCTTTAGAATCTCCACAATTTGGATCCGGATGAGATCCAAATTCTTTTTTGGACTTTTTGGCCTCAGGTAATTAATTCACCCAAAGATGACAGGTGGTTAGATATATATTAATGGCACGTTTACATACCCGTAATCGGAATCAATTTACGGAATTGGATTCTGATTACGGCATACACCTTTATTTACGTAATCTTGGACAATCAAAATACATGTGGGGTCCACACGCATTAAGGAATCCAACTCCTAATTTTGGAGGAATTGGACTCCCTACATAAGGGAGGTATTTCAATTCCTTGTGACTTGAGGAATCCGGAATGGATTTTATTTACCAATTATGCCCTCACTTGTTTCTAATTATCCCAACATTGCCCTTCATTTGACACTCATTATGCCATCTTTTAAGAAATAAATAAAACCTATTTATATATTTTTATATAGATGAATTTTATTATATAAATTTAATGTAATTAATTAGTATGAAGATAATTTATTTATGTAAGGGCAATTTAGTAATCAACTTAGTTTTCATTCCGATTGAAGTGAATTAGTAAACAATTTATATGGATTTAACATCATTCATGTCATTTTTTAATAAATAAATAAAACCTATTTATATATTTTTATATAGATGAATTTTATTATAAAAATTTAATTAAGAATTAAATTAAATTAATTAGTGTGAAAATAATTTATTTATGTAAGCGCAATATAGTAATCAACTAAATTTTCATTCTGATTGAAGTGAATTAGTAAACAACTTATATGGACTCAACATCATTCCTACTTCAATTCCAAACAGTTTCAATAAACAATTTCAATAGGAATCTGATTCTAATTCCACCTCATTTCAATTCCTCCTAAATCTAATTCTTCCTCAATTCAATTCCTCTCAATTTGATTACGGATTAGTAAACGCGCTCTAAGAGTAATGATATTCATACCATGTTTTTGTATCACATTTTCATACCACCTTAGATGACATTTGATGTAGACAGCCACATCATTTGAATTAATAAGAATTTTTTAATTTAGTTCATTATTTAATAAACTAATAATTAAGAAAAATTAGTTAATTAAATGATGATTGTGGTATACAAGAAGTCTTTCTCCTTCATTTTCTTAGGTTTTGCAAATTTTTCAAATGATGTGGCTGTCCACATCAGATGCCACCTAAGGTGGTATAGAAATATGGTATAAAAACACGGTATAAATAACATTACTCATATATTAACTGACAATTCTTATATTTTATTTGATGAAAGTGACAATACTTTTCTGGACATTGTTATCTGCGAACCATTAAAGGCAATTGGCAAACTAAATATTTCAAGATAAGAGCCACATTTAATTTTCTTTTTCCTTGTTTAAGGGTATTTGGCTATGAATTTCAAGATAAGAGCTACATTTTTCTTTCTCCTCAAGTATTAGGTATTAATAAAAATCAAAGAGATGTCGAGTATTGATGTAACATCCCACATCGTTTAGGGGAGTGGATCCTATAAGCCTTATATGTATATTCTCATCTCTACTTAGCACGAGGCATTTTGGGAGTTCACTGGCTTCAGGTTCCGTAGGAACTCTGAAATTAAGCGAGTTCGTGCCAGAGCAATCCTAGGATGGGTGACCCACTAGGAAGTTCTCATGTGAGCTCCCAGAAACAAAACCGTGAAGTCGTGGTCAGGGTCCAAAGCAAACAATATCATGCTACAGTGGAGTCGAGCCTAGGATGTGGTGGGGGCCTGGGCCGGGATGTGACAATTTGGTATCAGAGCCAATCCCTGGCCGAAAGTGTGCCGACGAGGATGTCGGGCCCCTAAAGGAGGTGGATTGTAACATCCCATATCGTTCAGGTGAGTGAATCATGTAAGTCTTGTATGTATATTCCTATTTTTACCTAGCACGAGGCCTTTTGGGAGCTCACTGGCTTCGGGTTTCGTAGGAACTTCGAAGTTAAGCGAGTTCATGCGAGAGCAATCCCAGGATGGGTGACCCACTAAGAAGTTCTTGTGCGAGTTCCCAAAAACAAAACCGTGAGGGTGTGGTCGGGGCCCAAAGAGGACAATATCATGCTACGGTAGAGTTGAGACCGGGATGTGGTGGGGGCCCGGGTGGGGATGTGACAATTGAAGTTCTTCTTTTGATGAAGAAATCCATTAATTCCTGACATAAAAGAGACGTCGAGTATTGAAGTTCTTTTCCAATTTTTTTTGTATATAAATCTCACTTCTTTTGAATAACATATAATAATGGTATAAGTTTCATAATCCGAAGTGTTTAAACTTTTAATCTTTATTTGAAGATCATTCTTATAAAAAAATCATTCCAATTGAAAATCATTTAGTTATTCACAAAATGTGAGATATGTGCATTATTCCATAGAGGAATGCAAATATTATTCTATAATTATTTGAATCCATAATCTTGTTTCTCTTAAGAGAAATTTTATTTGAACTCATCTAATCCCTTTCTACACCCAACTTACTCTCTTCACCCATATTGTTTTTTTTTGTTAAAGAATTAATATCTCTTTAAACCCAAATTTATTATCTAAACTACCCATTCCCTTTATAGAATAACATCTCTAATTGAATGTTTTTATTCAAAGAGGAGTCCTTTACCACTCTATAATTGCATATGACGTATAAGACTAATATTTCTATGGCTGCTTTTTTTTCTTTCTGCTACCAAACCCATCCATAGACTTGAATTTTCCACAGAATGCAATGAAAGCTCCAGTTCAATCCATCACTTTGCCGAAAACATTGGACCTTGATGTTTTGAATTTGGATGGAGGCATGTTTGGCGAGGGGTAATATTCTCATTAAGTCATTTTCATTCATCTTTATGTTCTACTTCTAAATGAATGTATGATGCAAATAACCTTGTTTCCTCAGGGCCTATGATAATCGTCACGTGAGTGCGGAGTACATCACACTACCAGGTTGTAGAAGTTAATTGTTGTTTGGAATTCTCATCTTTATTATTTGTCTTTATCTACATCAAGAATCAAGTTATATGTCTTTTCAATACTAATCAAAAGTCCTTGCAAGGTGTTTTAGGGCACAGACAGACACATGCATAGAAAAATAAATATAATATAATATAAAAAGTATGAAATTTAATCCAAAGAAGAAGCAAACGAACTAAATATCCATCGATCGAGTCATACCTTAGTTGGAGGATTCAAAACTTTAAAATCACTATCCATCAATAGAAAAACTTGTTTTTCTCTATTAGAGCTATTAGGGTTTTAGCCTGAAAGAACGTAGTATAAACAATGGGTGATGCTAGGGTTTAATTATAGTGTGTGAGTTTATTAATAAATTTGAGTTTTATTATTAATTTCACTTTATACTTAATAGTAATTATACAATAAGATAAAATAAACAATTAACATTTAAAATTTAAATTGAGTGTAGAAAGTGATTACAAAGGTTGAAATAAAATTTTCCTTGTCTTAACTCTCTTTCCTCGCCCAAGTCGG